AGTCGGACGCTTAACCGACTGTGCCACCCAGGCGCCCCTGATCTCTTGCTTTTATATATTAGCCAACTGATCTTGAATTTTATATATGAAGGTGATGCAGAGATGGCTAGGAGGACAGTCTGTGGCCAAGGAAGTCTAACTGGTTTAGGGGAGTCCAAGGCATGCCCAAAGCTTATCACGCTCTGTTCTGAATGAAAGGGAAGCACAATGAAACCACCTTGCAAAACAGGAGATAGCTCACACATCCCAAAGTCAGCACAAGCAACCATACGAACAAAATTCAAATATGGGTAAGAAGTTAGATTATGCTAAAGGTGGGATTCCAAATCAGAGCACAAAAGGATGATCATTTAATTTGGAGGGCTATCTGGCATTATATGTAGAAAAAAAACAAAGTTACGTCCTTACCTCACAATATATTACCAAATAAATTACACATGGATTAAGGCTCTAACTATAAGAAAAAAATTTTAAATAAAAAATGTATGGTATTAAGGTCAAGAAGGCTCAGCAAGGAAGGAAACTCAGAAGCTACAGAGAAAAAGACTGACAGATCAGACTACATAAAAAATTTAAACTTCTATTGTATGGTGCCAGCTACCATTAGAAAAAAAATGAAAGAAAATGTATGAAAACAGAAACAGACTAATAAATACAAAGAAAAAACTGGTGGGTGAATAGGTGAAGGAGATTAAGAGGTACAAACTTCCAGTTATTAAAAAAAATCAGGGGATATAATGTAGAACATAGAGAATATAGTCAATAATACTGGAATATGGTGATCAATGGTAATTAGGCTTCTTATGATCATTTCATAATGTATATAAATGTCAAATCACTATGTTCTACACCTAAAACCAATATTGTATGTCCACTATACCAATAAAAAAAAGAAAAAAAAATGTTTTGCTGCTTATTTGATAAAGAGTTGAGACTCTGGGGGCACCTGGATGGCTTAGGTGGTTACGCGTCTGACTTCAGCTCAGATCATGATCTCATGGTTCATGGGTTTGAGCCCCACCTCGGTCTGTCTGCTGTCAGCACGGAACGGGCTTCAGATCCTTGGACTCCCTCTCTCTCTGCATGTCCCACATTTTCACTGTCTCTCACTCAAAAATAAACATTTTTTAAAAAGGGCTAAGACTCTGATAAACCCACAGAAAAATGGGAATGGGCAAATCACAGAAGAAATACAAATGGTTAATAAAATTTCATTCACATAACGACTGCTGAGTAAATGGGACGTGGCCAGCACTGTTCTAAGGTAGAGGGAAACAGTAGTGGATAAGATATCTGCCCTTGTAAAGTTAACATTCTAGTGGAGAGAGACCATGATCACATAAAGCAAACCTAAAAACAGTGATACATGCTTTGTATAAATTAAAATAAGGTGAAGCGACACAGTTGCTGGGTCCCTAATTCAGGTTGGAGGTCAGCAAAGGCCTCTCTGAGGAGGTGATATAGAAGTTCAGATTTGAATAATAGTAAGAGGTCCTAGCAGGCAAAAAAGCAAGGAGAAGGCTATTGTAGGCAGAAGGCCTTATGTTCTGGTGCAAGAATGTGCTTCCCACCCACTGGCAAGCTCACCAGAAGGACAACAGGGATGGGCTAATGTTGCTGGAGCAGAGATTTGAGAGTCAAAGATCCAAGGGGTGAGCAAGGGGTTGGGTCATGTATGGGATGCAAACCAGAGTAAGGAGTTAGGGTTTTGTCTTCATGCAATAGGAACATGAAGTGATCAGTATTTTAAAGACACTGTTGTGGCTTGTGTGGAGGATGGGCTAGGGCAGGGATGCACAGGAGACAGTGCAGAAAAAGCATCAGTGATGTTTAGGGAGATCTGGGACTTCACTGTGGTAGGTTAGTGACAGAAAGAAGGGGAGGATGCAGGGTCTGCAGGTGGCACTGACGGGCTCCACACTGGGCTGGGAGGTTGATGAGAAGATGATGATGGATGAATGGTGGGCTGTTCACTGAGCTGAGGACCCAAAGGGTGTGGATGCAGTGTATGTTTGGAGGGGCTGGAATTGTGTCCTTTGGCCGGTTTAATATGAGATGCTATTAAATATTCACATAGGTATGTCAGGTTGGTGGTCAGGGCTAGAGGCACAGAGGCCCTGGCATAAGTACGGTTCTGAAGCCATGGGGACTGGAGGAGGTCACACAGGAAAGACGTTCAGATGGAGGAAGGAGCCCGGGAAACCCTCGGGGACTGCACACTTTAGAGGTTGAGCAGAGAGGGCAAAACAGCCATGGTGCCTGGGCAGCAGCAGCCAGAAAGGTAAGAGAAGTAGCAGCACAGCATGTGCAGGAAGTCAAAGGAAGAAAGGGCTTCAAGGTGCAGGGGCATGGGCAACTGTGTAATGAATACTGCTCAAAGGTCAGCTAAGGACAGAAAAGTGACATTGTAATTGGCCAGATTTTTTTGTGTACAAAGGAGGGTTTAAGATGACATGATCAGTTGATCAGACATACATATGCTGAAGGAAATAAGCTAGTACAAGCCGGGATACTGATGTGAATGGGGTAAAGGGAAATGCAAGAGCTAGTCCTTACAGAGGGGCAGGTGATGACTCCAAAGTCTAAGTGGAGTGTTGGCTTTGACAAGAGGGAGGTCCCAGAGTCTGGGGACAGAGGTGGATGGGCAGTGGTTTGGACAGGAGTTCCTAGCTAATGGCTTCCATTGCTAGGTAAAAATCAGACAAAAATATGTACACCACCAAGATGAACTCTAATGTAAACTATGGACTTTGGGTGTTTTGATGATGTGCTAATGTAGGTTCATCGGTTGTAACAATGCACCACTTTGGTGGGGGATGTTGATAAAAAGGAGGCTGTGTGTGTGTGTGTGTGTGTGTGGAGCAGTGGGAGGTTTATGGGAAGTCTTTGTACTTTTCCCTCAAGTGTTCTGTGAACCTAAAACTGCTCTAAAAGCAAAAAGGTCTATCAAAAAGAAAAATGAGGTATAGTCATCAACTTTGGGATGGGCAGTTGGGGTGGGGAGAGGTTCTAAAAAGAGAGGAAATGAAACAATAAATGTAGAGGGTGGAGGGTGAAGTGTTGAGATTCCTTTTGAGATTTGTGGCCGTGAATCTAAGATCAGTCAACACATTTGTAGGTTTTTGTCCGGTTGTTCAAGTGCTCAAGTGCCAGTCTCTTCAGCACAAGCAGACAACAGACAGATGCATTTCACCAGGGGTGGGGGTTTTGATGGTGGGTAAGGAAATGGTGTGTGAGGGTGGTGAGGAGAGGGAGTCCAGAGTGTTCGCAGGAGAGTGCTGGCAGTGCTGGACTGTGGGACTGGGAAGAACTGCTGGGCCTGGGTGGGGGTGGGGCGGGTGGGAGGTGCCTGAGGAGAACTAAAGTTCAACCTCACCAGTG